CACCAAGCAACTGAGCCTCGTCAATACGCCTCTGGTCCCCGTGCTGCTGTCGGGGACATTCGGCAGTGACGTGGTCAGCGGAGCCATGACAGCCTCGACTGCGTCCGACTGCTACAAGTTGTGCGTGCCGTCGCAGAACCTGTGCTTTGCGTCCGTGTTTGATTCGGCCACCAAGACTTGCACCTACGTGCAGCCGTCGTTCAATGCTGCATCCACGCTGGGCTGGATCATCCCCAAGACATTGCCAGACACGATGGCCACCGTGAACCAAGTCGATTTTTACGTGACTGCCCATCAAGACGACCACGAGTTGTTCATGTCTGCACCGATCTATTACTCGATCAAGGACCCCACGACCAAGTCCGTGTTTGTGTACTTGTCTGCGGGGGATGCCGACCAAAAGGATGGATGGTGGCAAGCGCGTGAAACCGGGACGCTAGCAGCCACAAGGACGTGGGTCAACATGTTTGGCAAGTTCTCCCCCACGGCAGTGAATACGACTGTCCTGGTCAAAGGCCATCACATTCAGAAGATCTCGATCGGCAACGCGGTCCACTACTTTCTTCGGCTTAGCGAAGACAACCTGGAGGAAGTACTGAACTCGAACAAGAAAAAGGCTCCATTTGACCAACCAAACGAGTTCTACGCCGGCGCCCAAGCTGTCAAGGACGTGCTGAAGGCCATCATTGTTGCTGAGGCGACCAAGGTATCAATGGTCACGGCGCACTACTCGGACTTCCTCGTTGACCCGAATGGAGACCACACATTGCACGTAGCAAGCGGCCGGATTTTGGCCGAGCTCCTCGATACCGACACCCTCTTCAAGTCGTGTATATCGCAAATTCCGTACTTCGGTTACCAGCATTGGTTGGACACGGTCAACATGAACGACCCGGAAATGTCGGCCCAGCGCGCAGCATGGTTCGGCTTGGGCGTGGGGATTCTAACCCAGTACGCCCGTGACACGTGGTCCGACCATTCAGTCGCGCTGGGGCGCACGTACACGGGCAGTGCCAAGTTCACGTCGGTGGCGTGTGCGTTCTAACAGTCCTCGACAACAAGTAACCCAGCCAAAAATGTATCGAGTTGGCAAGGTATAAATATTGAGAGTATTTTTCTGAGACGGATGTCATTAAAAATGAATACATGAATTATTCAAGGTATATACGGCGTTACAGGAAAAACCCAGTCCAAATCACTGTTTCCAGCATCATTGTCGCTTTCTGCAGATGACTCTTCATCTGACTCTCGGGCATCCACTTGTCGAATGTGTTCGTACAGAGCTTGCAACTTCGCCTCTGCTTCCTTCACACAGCCCTTGATGGCATGGGCCGATAAAGAATCGAAAGCTTGAATAAGCCGTGTTTTCACTTCGGGAAACTTGGTATCGTGTGTGTACTGACGACCAACAGCATTCTGTACAATGGCCCACACTGTTTCAATGGGCTGCAATTCAGAATGGTGAGTAGGAGTACAAACAACAGTGTGGCCACG